GATGGCGCCGCCACTGATGCTATATTACATCTGTTGTGCTAGTCACGTGCCACTTGCCTATATACAGAGATAATATATAAATATATATATAACTACTAATATATACGATATATATATGTATATATACATATATATCATAGATATCATGGTAATATACATATATATAAGATATATAATTATACATAATATATAACACCTATCACAATGTATATCAGTATATATATATATATCTATATATATCATATATGTATCATTAGATATTATATATATATATATTGCGGTATACACAGATACTACACACATATACGCACATATACACACATATACCCATCCTCCCCTATCCCCTCCCGCCCCCCCTCTCTCCTCTGCTCTCTGTCGTACATGCGAGCTCGACTTACGGACTTCGCCTATGCATGAATATATATAGCCTCTGCGACACACACACTTTTGCACATGCGCGGTGTGTGAGATGCCTGAGTATGGATTGTAATATTATGTATATATATATTCGTTATGGTGGCGAGGAAAGCGGCGTTACTAGGTATGTATATGACTTGGGCAAATGTGGAAGTGCTTGCGACTCCTTGCGACAATGCATGTATATAAAAGCTGAAGCTGCGCAGAGAGTTTCAGCATGGGGATTTAAGCATATGATTATATATATCATTGTATTCCCGAGAACGGCATATATAGCTATGTATATGCTTGGAAAGCGTGTGGAAGTGAACACAGTGCCGTCCAGCGGTATGAAGGATTAAATCTTCGCGACGTGCACAGATGTAATGCGGATGTATATAATTGCATAGAATATATAGCTGCTAGGCATGTATATATATACGTCGCTGCGCGAGCACAACGTAGCGGATAAGGCTGGTAATAGATCGCCACGTGTTGCAACCCAGTTTTACCTGTTGACGAGCGAGCGAGCGAGCGACCCGGAAGGAAATTAGATACGTACAGGCAAAGCCGTCATGAACAATGAACAGCGGGGAGGGGAGAGGGCGGTCCTGCAATGCTAGACATGAACGTGTCTATATGTGTGGCGTGTGTGCGGCGTAGGGTGCGGCGTCCTGGGCGTTGCAGCCCCCCCCATTCCCAGATGAACACCCAGATCGCGTGTATGCATCCATGCAACATGACGTTGATATGTGTGCGCGTGTGTGCCTCATTAGATGGTAATGGGGACGAATGATGATTTAATATGGGTGTAGGCTAGCTTAGGGAGTACGTAGACGATAATCGAGGAGAAGACGCTCATCAACCTCCCCCAATAAGGCATGAAATGATGACTACCAATGAAAAGGGTGCGGAGATTGAGAGAAAATGTTAGCATTTTCAGCAGTGAGGTTTTTTCAGGTGCCAGTGAGGCATTTTCAGCAGTGAGGTTTACAGAGCGGCATTGCGTAAATATTTCGGGAAGAAATTATGACAGGATGAAGAGGTAATTTACTTGAGGTATTATAGGGTATTATGAAGCTTGTTAGACAGAATGCAAAGTAAGAGAAGTGGCATATCGTGCGTTGACAGCCTGTTCTTGCGATACTGACCGGGCCTACTGTATGCGGATGCTGTGTGGTCTTGTGTGCGTGGGCGTGCGGGCGGCGAGTTGCGTGCGTGCGTGTATGTGTGACTGTGGATGACGGTGTGACTGTGAGCGTGCACTGGCAGAAACGCAGAAGTAACCTATCCCTGACCCTATCCGCTGACCTAAGGCTAACCCTAACCGAACCCTAACCCTAAACCACACACTACCCACTACACACACGCTATCCACACTCCACACCGCACACACTAAATATCTGCATACACACACACCCACTACACACTACCCAGGCTACACCAGGCGATCTAGCCCAGGTCAGCTAGAGGTGCGCGCAGCAGCGAATGGCTAGCTGGAGAGGGGGGGGGGTGCACTCACATCATGTTTATCGGTTGAAATGAACAAAGAACACCCTCACCAGTACCCCTGTCGATTTTAAAGGGGCTACCCCCACATTTACGAAAACGACATAGGTTTCAATGGGCCCCATGATGATGTTCTCTATCCTTGAACCACACAAAGCTCCCCCTATAAACTGAACAAGAACTTGAAGAAGTTACGCATGATGAATCTAACGTAGTATTTAATATCTATTTAACCGGGCATTATTAATATTACCACTTTTGCTAGTTATTATTATTATTTAACAATCAAATCAACGCGATGTACAAACCTTTAGTCTTTACACAAACTCGCATATAAAACTGTGTTGATCAATGACAATGGTTCCCCAGCTACGGTTCAATTGAATGACGCGCTGTCGGCTGATTGGTTGTTTGGGGCAACATCAGCGCCTATTTGATGGTACAATATGCTACTAGTAGAGGTCGCCACCACCATAGAAACCGCAATTTGTTGATAATATGGCGAAGAACGCCGCACAACGCAGAGCCCGAGTTCTTTCGCTAAAAATTAAGCTACAAGCTTTGCCCGAATAACGGACACAAAGAAAAATTACCCAAAGCCAAGGTAAAATGCTGTTGTTTGCGCTCTTTTGTACAGTAAAATTCAGTGTGAGTGTGATTTTGCTCAAGCCTCAATGCCAATGCTTTCCGGGGAGTTTCCCAGTGCCACTGCCAGTGGCAGCGCCAGCGGCAGCAGCACCTCGGCTCGTAGCTCTAGTAACTATAGCCCGCGTACAGTTGCCGCTGGCCAACTATACGCGGGCTATAGCCTATAGTTACTAGAGCTACTCGGCTCGAGGCTGGAGTCGACATCGTATTCGGTATTGGTCGTTTTTAGAACATAACGTCGATCCTTGGTCCACAAATGTCTGCAACATGATTTGTTGATTGATGCCGCACGGACGTCAAAATCACGGCCATTGACAGTGACAGTGACAGTGCACTGACACTGACAGTGTCACAGACACAGTGACACCTCGCTTGACATGGACAAGAGATCAAATATTGACCACTTCTTGTTTTTAGTTAAAATTAAATTAAAATTAATTTATTGACTTCTTATGTTAATCATGTTATGTTCATTATGTTATCTTCAATAAATACATAATAAATAGTTGGCAATCCTAAATAGTTACGCGTACGTCATCAAACTGCATGCAGCGCCCCTTCGTACACTCAGGAGGTTACAGCTCGCTAGTCCGACCGCCCAATAGTCCGAAAGCCCACTAGTCCGAAAGCCCCACTATCCAAATACCACTAAGTCCGAAAACCCACAGGATGGGGTACCGATCTATACCTAATGTTTAATTAATTAATTAATTAATTAATTAATAATTTTTTTTTTAAATTTTAATTCTTAATTTTACATTTTTTTTTTCATATTTTTTTTTTAGGGGATGTAGGGGGAGGTGTGTGTGGGGGGGGGGCTAAGTGTTTGGATGTGTAGCAAAATTGTAGACTACGGTAAAACCTCGTTATACCGCCCTTCGTAATACTGCGCCAATCTCACTTATTGCCAACATAGTCCAGGCATTTCGTGAAAAAAATGGGGTCAACCTCGGACAAATTGCAACAGAAAGTCTGTCAACTGTTTTATACCCAGAAATATGTCCTCTATAACATATCAAAACTCTTAAGGAATCCTGGTGGTGGAAGGTTCCATGGCGGCCATTTTTCAAAATGGCCGCCATACAACTGATATTTCCCTATATCTCCGCTTCTAAATAACATAGAGCTTTGATTTTAAGTGCTAAACATACATTTTCAGGGACAAGGAATCTAATAAAACACATTTCAATAAGCTAAACCTGACCAAAAAGCCGAAATGGCAGCCAAAACCAGATGTCATGGTGCCTGTCACACAACGTGCATCTATTCCACACTGAAGTTCGTGTGTGAGCATGTTCAGCGCCATGGTATTACGCCCATCATCACCTTTGACCAACCACTATGGTGGAAAGCACTCATGATCATCGAGACTGAGCCCACAGGAAGTGTCTTGAATGACATAGTCTTGCGCCTGGGGGGCTTTCACACAGAAATGAGTTTCTTGGGAAGCATCGGGCACCTCATGGCTGGATCAGGACTGCAGGAATTCTTGGAGCTAATCTATGCAGACAACGCGGTGGTACACATGATGACAGGCAAGGCTATTGCACGAGCAGTGCGAGGACATCTCCTTGTTGATGCAGCACTGAATGCCTTATTTTGTCAGACGTACTTGGTGTGCCACTTCCTCAACCATCTGCAGAGCCACATGAAGTGGAGGAGACCAATGAGGCAACAGTGTCACCAGATGATGAGCCTACGGAACTGGAAACACTGATCTTGATGAACTTGCTGCCCTCTACAAGAACCTGATGGAAGGTTCCGTGTCTGCAGAGGAGTTCTGCCAAACTGATGTGTTAACCAGGATCAAGGAGCTCCTCAGGGCCAAAACCGAATCCTTGAGGTTCTCTAGGACTGCCACACTTTGGCTACAGTACATGGAGATGGTGGACATACTACGGAAGTTTGTCAGAGCAGAGGGCATTGGCAGCCTCTGGGCACAACCTCTACACCAAATCAGCCCGCCTCTATGTGCAGCGAATGAGCAAGCTCAAGGATGAACATCCAGATGTGTACCAACGATTCGAAGAAGGGTCCCATGTTGTCAGAAGAAGTGATCGCCTATGGGCTGGTCTGTCCGTAGATCTCACCATCGAACAGGTGCTGATGAGGACTATGAAGACCAGCGGTGGCCTGACGAGAGGGCGAGGCATGACAAAGCAACAGCGGCTCATATGGCTGCTCTCCATGCCTGCCTGTGCTAAAGTCAACAATGCTATGCAGCAGCTCACAGGTGTCAACTACAACACTGGTGAACAAAACAAGGACATGGCAAATGCTAGACAAGCACGTGACATGAAAGACACACATGCAGTTATCAGCAATCTGTAAGAGAGACACCCTTCAGCTCAGATCCGAGCTTGCGCAGCATCTCGACAGGGGTGCATGCAACTAGCACAGTCAATGTGGACTCAGCGAAAACTGTTGGAACAGCTATCCTGACCAACATGGATGGACAAACTGCTGCTGACTACACATTCAAGAGGAAGGATCCGGCCATCACATTGGCTGCGAAATCGTCAGTAAAGATTGATGGTGGGGCAGTACAGGTGGATGCCAAGCTGCTTTTCCAGCGACTGACAATTGCTGCAAAAGCTACAGAGGATCTGGAGTCTGTGTTCAAATATGAGCTGTGCAGTTCCCACCAGCTCTGTTTGATTCCACACTGCTGCTCCGACAGCCACAGAAGGCAGTGCTAGCAGATGCTATCTGGACACTCCTGACACACGATGCACCAGGAATCACAAGCCAAGTCCACAACGTGTTGGATGCTGGGGCACTAGTCCAGCGCATTCCATGAGAACGTGGCTCAATATACAAAGGTATCTGCGCGCAATACACAGAGTATGTCACAAAGAAGTATACACAGGCAACAGTCGTGTTTGATGGATATGATAGTACATCAACAAATGATACAACACACCAGAGACGTACGAGAGGGCATGTTGGAGCAACTGTGACGTTTGATGAAGATATGCAGGTCACAATAAAAAAGAAACAATTCCTGGCAAACAAGACAAACAAGCAGCGCTTCATCAACATGCTCAGCACCAAACTACGGGCACAGAACTGCCAAACACATCATTCTGCAAGTGATGCTGATCTCCTCATAGTGCAGAACGCAGTGGAGTCTGCAGCCACCACTGATACAGGGCTGATCGGAGATGACACAGATCTGCTCATCCTGCTCATCTACCACACCAACCTCAAGTCATGTGACCTGTTATTCCAACCCGAACCAAAGAAGAATGTGAAGAAACCGCGTGTCTGGAATATGAAGTCTGTCAAGCAGCAGTTAGGCCCTAATGTATCACAGCACATCTTCTTCATACACGCTCTCCTGGGATGTGATACTACTCCCCCCGCGTGTATGGCATTGGCAAAGGAGCTTCCCTCAACAAATCCAAAACCAGTGCGCACTTCCGTGAACAAGCCAATGTGTTTGATGTAGCTTATTGAAATGTGTGTCACTGGATTCCTGGCCCCAGAAAATGTATGTTTAGCACTGAAAATCAAAGCCCTAAGTCATTTAGAAGCGGAGATATTGAAAAAATATCAGGTTTATGGCGGTCATTTTGGAAAATGGCGGCCATTCCAACTTTTTGGCCAGATTTAGCTTATCGAAATGTGTTTCATTTGATTCCTTGTCCCTGAAAATGCATGTTTAGCACTTAAAATCAAAGCTCTTAGTTATTTAGAAGCAGAGATATAGGGAAATATCAGTTTTATGGCGGCCATTTTGAAAAATGGCCGTTATGGAACCTTCCACCACCAGGATTCCTTAAGATTTTTGATATGTTATAGTAGACACCTCCAAGAGCATAAAACAGTTGAGACACTTTCTGTTGCAATTTGTCCGAGGTCATATCACATAATGCCTGGACTAACAGCTTTATGGCTATGTACAATCCTATAAAAACGCATTCAGTAGAACATGTGCGACTCACTGCGACTGCGCTGCGACTGACAATTTTCCAGTCGCATACCCGTCGCTGACAGTCGCAGGGGTGCTTATGTCGAACTTTCTCTGCGACGCGATCGTCGCTGCGACTTGCAACTAGTTGCAGAAAATCTAGCAATTGGCTGCAAGCCTAGCGCAGACTTGCGACTTTTGGTTGCTCGTCTCTGCAACCTGCAACCGCATGCGATCGGTCGCACGCTTCATGCGGGATGATCGTATGCGATTTCGAAGTAATTTCGACTGCGATTCTGGAATCGCAGCCGAGTTGGTCCTCTTTTGGTTCAGTGCATATCGTAATATCACGAGTGTTACTTAGATATATATATTACATAAATAGATATATAAATATATATACATATATAACATATTGTAAGTGGGCGAAACCCCACACGCCAGGGAAAGTTATGGCAATGCGAGAACGCAACCGGTGTCAGGAGAATGTATGAAACAGGAACGGGAGAGTCAGCGGCGGGACGCTTTTAACAATTAAAAATTGAAAATTGAAATTAAAAATTAATTAATTAATTAATTAATTAATTAAAAAATAAATAATTAATTAAACATTAGGACCATAGATCGGCACTCCCCATCCCCTGTGGGTTTTCGAACTAGTGGGCTTTCGGACTAGTGGGTCTATTAAAATGTAAATTTAAATAAAATTAAAAATTAAAAAAATTAAAATTAAAAATTAAAATTAAAATAAAAAATTAATTAATTAATTAAAAATAAATAATAAATAATTAATTAAACATTAGGACTATAGATCGATACGCGATCCCTGTGGGTTTTCGGACTAGTGGGCTTTCGGACTGTGGGTTTCGGACTAGTGGGCTTTCGGACTATTGGGCGTCGGACTAGCGAGCAGTCAACCCTGCTCAGGATACCACTGCCACAATGCTAGCACTATTTTTAAAGTGGCGGCAGATCCGGGGGAAATCAGCAATGGAGATTCGTAAACAGCATATGATTGAAGAGGTATAACTGGGCGCACAATCCGCGTACTATTTGTAGTATCACTATTTTATCAAATCTTATCATGAAATAACGGTCGGATTTTTAATGTCTTTGCACTTTTATTAGTCCAAATCTTTTACATAGGATACGAGTAATGTGGCTGCTGTAAAAACTTGTAGTAAAAAGCGTTACAAATTGTAACGGAAATCTGCTTGTGGGATTGGTAGATTGAGCATGAGCGAGAGGCATCTGTTGTGGAGTTGGGTACGTCATATGTGTTCATCGTGCAGCAAACGCGCAAAGCATTATGGGAAAAGGCTCACAGCAGAAATCAAAGAATCAAGAATCAGAAGGCATCATTACAAATGCCAGTTACCATCGAATATAACTTCGAGTTAGACGTACTTTCTTGCTGTAATAGTTGGTATTTATTAGCTCATCTGACGAAGTCTATATATGGAGGAAATGCAGAATTGCGGCACAAATCTAAACGGCTCGACCTAGGCTCGTGATAGTCGGTGTATAGCATCATGGTAGGAAAAGCCATCACTGTGCCGAAATTGGAGGTCACGGTCAAAGGTCAATGGGCACAGTTCAGATTTTAGACATTTTTGAGTACATTGTCTGACGGAGCGATTGAAAAACTTTTTTGTTTCAGCGGTGACCTACCATTTTTATGGCTTTATTGAAAGGACCATGAAAATGTGCTTTCCACTGACGTGCGAAGAGTAAGTGTTGATAAAACTTTTGATCCTCAGATGAGGGTTAAACATGGATTTGTTTTACTGTTAGAAAGAATTTGACTGCTGGGTTTGCTAGTAGAATCTATACATGCCTGGGATGTATGAGGCTACAATGTCACAGTGAAATTTCAAAAGCAATTTGGTTGAAGAAGGTTTATGCTCCTTAAATCGTATAATTTCTATGGCATTCTGTACTGTCAGTGTGTAAATGTAACGTATGCCACTGCCAGTGGCCACTGCCAGTGCATTGGTGGTGGTGATACTGTGTAGTTTTTGCCTGCGTTAATTAGTTACAGGTGGCAGCTCTCTATTTCAGCTGTAGGCTTGCGTAGGTAAATGGATGACTGCTTACCTATTCTGTCTTGCAAATAGCTGTTGCTACTACGTACGATGGGAGCTTCCATCTTTAATCTGAAGACACTTAAACGTACGCGCCATCTCGTGGCAACTTTTATAACGATCCCAACGAACATTCCTTTGAGAAGGTTGTCCTGATACCACTCCCTGCCTTCCACTGTTTCGGCGCGTAGGTGAACACATTTGGGACTCACAGGGTTTACTAGAATCCCACCACTCCACCACAGAGTCACTGCAGTAGACGTTAGATGAACGCTGTCGCTTTGCGGCACTTGTTTGTAATTTGCATGTAAATTTGTTTTTTTGAATTTGACATAGCTATACTGACTGACGGACTGAAATCTCACTACATCACGTGTAACTAAACACCTGAGCTGCAAGTGAGATGGAGAGCAACAATGAAACAGGTATTATATTATCAGGAGTGGATAATAGAGATCTAGAATCTAGAATCTAGAATCTCTATTATCCACTCCTGATATAATTAATTATTATCTGCCGAAACACAGCAGAAGGTTGTGAACGAGTGTTTATATGAAAACCTAGATACAATAAAATGAATAATGTAACCCAACAAGAGTAGGGTTACAACGCGAGCCTATTCTTTTCTTTGGAGGAGTCCCTGTATGATTCACTCAGGGTGGTTTTATGGTGCGTTTTTCGAGACTACAACTTCCAAACTAGGTTTATTCTAAACACGAACCTTTCTCCGCTATCCTGGGACTTACTAATACTATGTATCATAATACTCTGTATTAAACTATTATAACCTGTTACAAAATTTTGAAGTGACGAGCGGCGATATTTCGAGCGCTCTTTTCTGTTGACCTGTGACGTATAGATTCCCAATGCGCATAGCGTTCGACTAACTTCGACTCCAAGATCGAATGTATCATGGGATGCCTGCTGTCAGTCATGACGTCATGACGAAGTTAGCCGAACGCTATGCGCATTGGGAATCTGTACGTCACAGGTCAACAGAAATGGCGCTCGAAATATCGCCGCTCGTCACTTCGAAATTTTGTAACAGGTTATAATAGATGTGAGAGATGTGAGATATATACAGAGTATTGTGATACATAGTAAGTCCCACTCCCAGGATAGCGGAGAAAGGTTCGTGTTTAGAATAAACCCAGTTTGGAAGTTGTAGTCTCGAAAAACGCACCATAAAACTGCCCTGAGTGAATCACTCAGGGGCTCCTCCAAAGAAAAGAATAGGCTCGCGTTTTAACCCTACTCTTGTTGGGTTACATTATTGTATCTCATGAAAATCGTGAGGTGCTCTACTTAGTGGTGTTTTGTGTAGTTTCTTGGTGGACTTGAAAGAGCGAGTAATACTTGATATAAATGAAATTTCCAACTTGAATAATTATTTCTGAATTGTCTAAGGAGCAGTTCATGATTCAAGAACACTATTATTTAGAAGACCTCTTATAATTTTGTTTTTGTTTTTAAGCAGATAGCATTGTCCCCAATGATACGCTGACACAAGGTGAAACTGAAGAACAGCGTGCCATTAATGGCGAAATAGATGATTCAACAAGCAATGATCCTGCGGCCGAAGATGGCGCTAGTAGTAGTGCTAATGCTGAAGGTGGCGCTAGTAGTGCTGCAGAGGAGAAACGTGAGGAGACTTTCTACAATTTTGATGACTATGTTTCGAAGCCGACTTACACCCAGGATTCACAGCTTCCCTTAGATGTCCTCACCTTGTAGTATCCTTTTTCACTTTTTATTTGGCAGGTTAACTGCAAATGTCTCTAGGTTAATAATAAATAGAACAGGGTGGTAAATCCAGGAGAAGAACCAAAATACATTATTTATTGAATGTGGATGATACCTGCCATATGTCAACAATTGCTCTGAATAAGCTTAGCCCCTCGCAAACAACATCTTGTAAAAATATCACCGGGAATTTTCTTACATATAGCGTGTTTCACACAAGAACCTGGTTCCCTTTGACGAAGGGTGTTATATGTGAACCTGCTACCTTGCAAAACATACAGCGAAAATATCCTGGGTTGTGGCTAATGCTCCATTAGGAGTGTTCCCAACTTTGATATCATTAATGATTAATGATTAATGATTAATGATTGATAATCCTAACCCTAACCCTAACCCTAACCCTAACCCTAACCTAAATGACATTAAACCGCAAACTAATATATGACCATGACCATATATATATACAAAGGCGTCGGAAGCAATAAAATAGTGCCGCGGCTTTGGTGATAGGGCGAGCCCCGGGGAGGCGAAGCCACCCTAGGGGGGTCTGGGGGCATGCCCTCCCCCGTGAAAATTTTGAAATCTACAAGGCAAATGGTGGGCTCTGGTGCATTCTGAGCATTGTGATTTAGCACAAAAAAGTGTGTTTCACTGTAATTTGAGAAAAATACATGATGATTTGAAAGATTTGTTGCTTAACATAGAATTAAAATATTCAATAATGACCAAAAACTCCAAATTTATTTTTCTCACTTTAACAGTGGAATAATCTGTGGTAAAACTTCTTGAAATACATTCCCATTCAAGACATGCATACAATTGTACTGGTGCTCACAAACGAACTGTTAATATTCGTCATGAAACGCGCTGACCCCGGGCAAAGCATGCTCCCTCAATATAACGCAACGACATGCTGCCTGCATAGAATCAGGAGTAGACGGGGAGCAGAGGAATGTGTGCCAGAGTTCTGGATCATAAAATTTTATAGCTACAGGTGACCCAGGGGGGGGGGTCTAACCGTAAGACATACTTGCGAGCACGGGAAGGGGGGATCTGGGGGGCCCTCCCCCAGAAAAATTCTGAAATTAGACCCCCTCAGATGCGTTTTCTGCGCGAGCAGGGGGGTCCGGACCCCCTGGACCCCCCCTGTACACGCCCCTGGACCTGACCTCATCTGACCCTGGTCTCCGCTTATAGGGGCCTAGATTACACGTATATACATGATATATGTACCGGCCAAAAGATGGTATAAATTATTGAAAGATTTTGGTTACGGAAAATTTATGGCCTGAAAAAAGTGCCGCGGCAGTTCCGACGCCCTTGTATATATATATATGTTATTATGACCATTAATGACATTAAAGTTGGAAACATTCCTAATGGAGTATCACCCTGGGTTGTTTTCATACAAATGACAAAATTCACATGAACATGTATGTTGTTCCCTTTGATTGTGGCAAGTATATATATATAAAAATTCGTTAACGTTATTACATATCCTGACCTCCGTCGGCAGTCACTCGTTTGGCTACGATTGCAAGAAGCGACGTAACCTACACCTGATGGATGAAGAAACGGTGATATTCGCTGCTGGCAACTTGCTTCAGATACTCAACCTTCACACGACAGAGCAGAGATACTTCCGCACCAGCGGTGGAGGGGGCATCGGCGCTATCGCGGTACGCACACACTACTCTTCAACGTTTAGTTTATGGTGCAGTGATTATAGCGACTTATTACACAAGGTCTGAGTAAGGCAGTACATGAAATTTCACAGATATGGACGGATAGCAGCTTTTAAGTAACTATGTAACCACTGAAGACAGTTTCGGAAATAGCAACGTGGTGTGCCTGTAGTCACTGAGACAAACGGGGTAAAATTAATACCCAGTGTCAAATATTATATACACTACTCGCACTATCATTCTCCTCATTTATATCTCCCGGCAACTCCATGTTTCTCACGTCAATAATCGCGTCTGTTCCCTTCATCGGGTGAGGTTTGTGTAGAGTTCTAGCTGATTTAACGCCGTGTACAACATACACGCTCCCTGTTGTCATCCTATTCCTCAAGAGTTTGATCTTCGTACCATATCACCATGCATATTGCCCGTGTCATCACGTATGGCACAGGCTCTGCAGTGGCAGCGTTCCATAGTCATAGATGGTTCGTGGCTATGGTCACTCTAGCTCTACCTGTATAGCCCTCTCCGCACAGGTCTCTGCAGGAGCAAAGAGCTAGGTATATAGGTAGGTAGGGCCACTACGCCCCACACCAACATCAGGGGTCGTTCACTGCTATAGCTATATAGGCAGAGCTATACTCCAGCACTGCACACCACAGCACAAACCTGTGGTAAAGCGAATAGCTGGCTGTATGAGTAGAGCTACGCGTTACACAGACATCAGGGGTTGTACAGCACCACGACTTTTCGCTGGCGCTTCCTGCTGCCGTACACCGCAACCATCTGCTCGACCGCGAGGCTGACGAACCCTGCAGCAACGCCCCCTAGCAGGAAGAAGAAGATGTTTTGTAGGCTGGACAGCAGCAGTGAGTCACAGGCGACGGCGTCTCGGTCGTGCGTCGCGCACGCGTGCACCGGGTTGTCCACAAACTCCTGCCGCCACTTGAGCAGCACTCCGTAGCGTGAGAGCGCACGCACGCTGGCATTGAGCGGGGCGTGGTAGCGGCTGCCGTGGGCCGTCGCGCACGTGCCGTGGTTCAGCAGGTCCGTCGTCACCAGCGCGAGCCGGCACGCCCCGTCGCGCCGGTAGTCCCACTCCGTGTAGAGGCTCGCGAACACGTGACTATCGAGCAGCATCGCGAAGTGGCCGCTCGCGATGAGTGGCACCACCTGTTCGGGCGCGTGCGTGATCGCGGCGGGGTGAGCTGACGTCTTCGCCCACAGCTGGCCGAGGTCTGACTCCGGGCGGCTCTCCCTCAGCAGTGTCTCCACACCGAACCCCGCGTAGACGACGGGCACGACGGCGCCCTCTGCAGTCTCGCGCAGGTTCGTGAACGGGTACGCGATGGTGGTTCGCACGGAGAGGAAGCTGACGAGGGTGCCCGTGTACGTCGCCATGACGACGATGACGAAGCCCCACCAGGCGGCGCTGAGCACACGGCTCGCTCCGCGCCACGCCGCGTACGTCCCGCCCTGATTCGCCAGCGTGCCGAAGATGTACGGCACAGTGACGAGAAACGCTAGTGCCCAGCAGGGGGCGCCGCCCGCCGCTGTGCGATGCAGCGCGGCGAGCGTCGCCGCGACGACAGCCGCGCAGACGAATATCAGCAGCCAGGTGGCGACGCTGAACGGCGAGAACACGGTGAGGAAGGCGTGTCGGCGGGCAGGCCGGCTGATGATGAACACGTAGTTATGCACCAGCATCGACTCGAGGAATCTCACGCGGCGCCGCCGCCCCGGCAGCACGGTGAGGTCGCACGCGATGTCAAGGTCGCGAGCATCGAGGAGGTCGGCTACGGTGCGGAAGCCTCCGTCGCAGACGTGCCGCACAGAGTAGGTGAAGTTGTGGTGGCGGGCAAGCTCATCGATCACCTTCATGTAGAAGTGATTCAGCGGGTAGTCGTGGTAGAAGCTCAGGCAGCTACACAGCCACATGCTGACCGTCAGGTGAGCGCCATTCAATGCTGTCCCATGATCAACGAGGACGTCGCCGGACGGGCGATTACGCAACGCCGTGTCACGGTCGTGTTGCCACCGTGAGGCGCCGGCATTGCCACCCGCCCCGACCTCGCATCGCCCGCCACCTCCCGCGTTGACGAGTCCCGCCGCCATCGCCGTTGTTGCCATGATGACAGTTACCGTGATCGCTGCGTTGCCCATGGCACGTGTCATCCGGACGCTTTCTTTCCTCGAGGAATTCCTCGCCGCTGTCCGTCTCCTCCCGCGGAGGAAACCGGACGCAGAAGTTGCAAAGAGAAAGCAGATAAACTAGACAGGAGGAGGAGATGGTTTTTCCTCAGATTACGGAGGAAGGATTCAACAGTCGGCGTTCATTCGGTCAGCGTTCCCTCACGATGTATACGCGACCGTACGTCAGCAGCGTGCATTCTGCACATGTGTTGTAATAGATGCGGCAGTCCACGCGAGGCAGTTCCGTCACTGATGAAAGCAATCTCAGTAGAAGCTATCTCAGTAGAAGCTACGTGGCAGTTAGATGCCGGTGCTAGCTTCTTCACTGCCGATCGCTGTCTGTCACCCACCTGTCCCGCAATATAACTACTTATATATACATGACATGCTGAATCAATAGCCGACGCATTAGCTAATGCCCACGTGTGTATTTACACGGTGTCTGGTTTGTGGTGATTATTGGTCGGAATAAGCTGCAGCTTCCAGATATCTGCAAACAGAACTAGTCAGGTGCGAGCAATGTGATCTGTTTGCAATTTGCATACAACGGAAGGTAAACAGATCAGTGTCTGCCGTGCTGCTGCATTCCATTACATCATCATCGCTCTCGCTCTATCACACACCACCGCGTGTTCAGCAAGCAGAATATTATAGTAGCGTCGAGCCACGGCCTATACCTCCGCACACACAGACCCGTATACACACACGCACACATGCGCACGGACGCACGCACGCACGCACGTGCACACACACATGAACGCAAGCATGCACACACACGCACACACATGAACGCAAGCACGCACACACACGCACACACATGAACGCAAGCACGCACACACACGCACACACATGAACGCAAGCACGCACACACACGCACACATGAACGCAAGCATGCACACACAAGCACACACATGAACGCAAGCACGCACACACATGAACGCACGCACACACACATGCACGCACGCAAGCGCACACACATCTTCATCATGTGTCTGATTACAGGTGCATCCTTCGCGAAAATATTTTGCTGTTGCCGAGAAAGGAACACTGCCCTGCATCAACATCTTTGAGTATCCGTCGCTGCGTCTGTACAAGATCCTGCGCGATGGCACGCAGAAAGCCTATGCTTCCGTCGATTTTAGGTGAGACAACTAGAGTTTAAAAAATGATCTATTACCGTTGTAAATCCGCAGTGATGTTTGGTATATAAATTTTCACCTGTATTGATAGTAAACATTCATACTTTGTGTGTCACTGCAAATTCTAGAATTTTACGCATGCACACACATGTGTATATATATATATATATATTTACATATATACATATATACATACATATATGTACACATACATACATACACAACTCGGGGATGTAAACCTATGTTGTTGTTGCACAGCCCTGATGGAGAGCTGCTGGCATCGGTTGGCAGTGATCCTGACTACATGCTCACCGTGTGGAGCTGGCAGCAGGAGAAGACCATGCTGCGATACAAGGCCTTCTCCCAGGACGTCTATAAGGTTTCCTTCTCGCCGGAGAACCCCGGCCAGCTGACGACGAGTGGGTCGGGACACATAAGGTGCTAACGCTACACACGCACACACACTTGAGCTGTTTATCGCGTGAGAGAGGGTCCTCACCGTCACCCTAATACTAACTTAGTCAGGTGTAACTCTAACCTTTACTGTAGCCCCAATGTGAACCCTTATTATTATGCTAATCCTAATCATTATCCTAATTCTAACCCGAACCCTTATGCTAATCCTAACCCTAATTCTACCCCAAGCCCTAAGCCTTACCCTAATTTTAACCATACTCTTAATGCTAGCTTAAGCTTAACCCTACTCTTAATGCTAATGCTTAAGCTTAACCCTACTCTTAATGCTAAGCTTAAGCTTAACCCTGACTGTTGTTGTTATTGTTGACGTAGGTTTTGGACGATGGCGAGGACGTTTACAGGGCTGAAGCTGCAGGGAGCCATCGGTCGATTCGGTCGGACGGAAATCTCCGACATTGAAGGTTATGTCGAACTGCCCGACGGAAAGGTACTGAAGATCAACGCCATCTGCTGGAACTGCAGTTTAGTTAGTAGTAGTTAGTGATAGAAATGGTTAGTTAGTAGTACTTAGTAGTAGTAGTTTCGGTACACGCGTGTCCCGTAACGACTGTTTCCTGACCTTGCGTGCTGGACTCTTCCAGGTTCTGTCTGGCTCGGAGTGGGGTAACATGCTTCTCTGGGAGGGCGGTCTCATCAAGGTGGAGATCTCACGCAAGGCTGGCAAGACCTGCCACCAGGGGGCGATAATGCAGTTCGTCATGGACGAGGGGGAGCTCATCTCTGTCGGACAGGACGGATTCATTCGCGTGAGAAAACGCACCGTTATTGTTGCTTATATCCGTTCATCGCTATCCGAATGTCAGTCGATGTCGTTATAATTCCATGTCTATTACTACTTTTTTACTCTATTGCATTATATAATAACCAGTATATATGTTACAGTCAAGCATTAGAGAACCCCATGTCCCTGTAGGGTCTGTTATACAATGATACCAGCACTATAGAATCGACGGACAACCGTCTATAAAGAACGCTTTTTGGGGGGGTTCCTTTTGTGTGACCCTTATGGCGCTGTCATACCTCCGTATGAAAGCCAGCGTATACCGACGTATGAAAAATTTGGTGAATACGCTGGCGTACGTTGAAATAAGTTAATGGGTAAGCCTTTGTATAAGTTTAAGAGCACGCTGAAGCACGTCTGAAGCACGCTGGTAATACGTCGTAGTACGGCGAGGTCGTCGAAAAATTTTTGAGCATTGCTCACTTTTTCCACGTATGCCAGCGTATGCCCATACTCCCCATACGCGGCCATAAGTTGTAGGTAAGTTATGCGATCAGTTGACACACGTTCACACACGTACTTGTAAGTTACTCATAAGTCAAATACGTCGAGATAATCAGCGTACCCAAATCTTATTTCTAACCTATGAGTAACGTGCTTTGAACCTATGTGTAAGTTATCTCCATTCTATGTAAACGTATTTGACGTGTTCCGGACGACCACAGAAATTGCTGAACGTGTTTCTAACTTACATCTACCGTATAATGGCGTATTAGCAGCGTTTAGGGTAATTGGTATATAAAAATGGTATTGGCATGTTGATACTGCGACGGTGATGTTGATACTGCGATGTCTAGTGCGGTTATGATTTGAATCGTCGAGCGGCCGCCTTTTTATAGGCTACGACACGTGATCGTCGGCGATACGCTGCCGCGCGCTATGCATAAGTTAGACTATCGTTGGGCATAAGTTGTGAACGCCGGCAACACGCTAAGCATTCGTTGGTATAAGTTATCTATAAGTTATCGAAACGTTCTATATACGTTACTAATACATTATGTATACGTCCAACTCGTTATGAATATGCTATGTATACGCCCAAAATTGAAAAAAAACATCGATAGTTCAGCGTATGCCAGCGTTTTAGAGAAATTTTGATACGTCGGCATACGCTGGTTAAATCGTCAAGGTGTGACAGGGCCATTAGATACAGGTTTGACTGTAATACCAGCGATGTGTGACTCGTGCGTGTGTGCGCGCGCCAGGTGTGGGACTTTGAGACAATCGACCAGGCGGACACGAGCGATGAGAGCGTCAAGTGTGAGCTGGAGCCGATGAGAGAGCTTCGCGTCGGCAGTAACGCCATCCTCACCTCCATGGTGAAGTCCCTCAACCCTGACACACCGACGATATGGTACGCTCAGGTATGTGACCTTGACACGCACAGGTAGGTGACCGCTTGCCCACTATATACTACCCATACTCACGTGCATGCCAAAATGTCGGGTGTGCAGCACTTCATTGATAAGCATTAGTGAGCATTATTGATTACATCCTTTTTCAATGATTTGAATTTCATTTCTCGAGGATGCTAACGGTGGAATCTGGAAGGTCGATCTTGCTATCTCTCTGACATCAAAGGGACCGGAGAAGTTGTTTTCCTACCACGGTGGGGAAGTCACTGACTGTGATGTGTCTCCAGTCAGCCACCTGGTAGCAACAATCGGAACCGATGGTATAAATCCTACGCTACTATAAAACTACGAGAGCTGAATGATTAATTGAAGTAGTAATCTAGGAATAGTGTCAAAGTTTTATGGATGTTTGATTTGTAAGAGAGAGTTGCGTTGTACAGTTACTTTCATTGATGTATTGATAAGTGGTGTATTGATGTGATCTCACGCAGGCACACTGCGAGTGTACGACTACTACGGCAAGAAACCCCTGTGTGACGTGCGATACGGAGCAGGTGGCTCCATCGTGCGGTGGATGCCGAAAGCTGTGAGTATAGTCATCATAGCTATATGATTCGCAGACCTTTAATGTACAAAATAACAACACCATTACAGAGAGAGAGAGAGCGAGAGAGGATATATGACTCTATTCTTGCTTTGTAGGTGGACCGGCGCGGCTCTATGACTCTATGCTTGCTTTGTAGGTGGACCGGCGTGGCTCTATGACTCTATGCTTGCCTTGTAGGCAGACCGGCGCGGCTCTATGACTCTATGCTTGCCTTACAGGTGGACCGGCGTGGCTCTATGACTCTATGCTTGCCTTGTAGGCAGACCGGCGCGGCTCTATGACTCTATGCTTGCCTTGTAGGCGGACCGGCGCGGCTCTATGACTCTATGCTTGCCTTACAAGTGGACCGGCGTGGCTCTATGACTCTATGCTTGCCTTGTAGGCAGACCGGCGTGGCTCTATGACTCTATGCTTGCCTTGTAGGTGAACCGGCGCGGTTCTATGACTCTATGCTTGCCTTGTAGGTGGACCGGCGCGGCTCTATGACTCTATGCTTGCCTTGCAGGTGGACCGGCGCGGCTCTATGACTCTATGCTTGCCTTGCAGGTGGACCGGCGCGGCTCTACGCTGGTTGCAGGCTTTTAAAAAGTTTCATGAAATGAAATGGATCGATTTCGTTGAGGAGGGAATCACGTTCAGCGCCTGTGATTGATCTCACACGCGTTTATTTGTTTGTTTGTTTACAGACGAGCTTAGGGTTTGCATGGACGCTTGCGATTTGCATGGACAATGGCTTTTAGCTGATTCACCGTGACGCGCGTCCGCCACGCGGCTTACGCGGTCGCTTTTTCGTTCGTTTTGAGACGGGGCGCCGATAGGGCAAACGTGTTTTAATCTACCGCTGCATGGAGGAGACTTTGATAGACCGCGCCGTGTCTGCCACGCGCATCCATCCGCAGAGGGTACAGCAGCCAACCCAGCAGTCGCTAGCGCCAGTCTATGAGCCGCGCAGGGGAGATAGAGCGTCAAATTTTCGTTGATGTTGAGGCGGAGATTGTCGCAATTGTTTCCCTCGCCCGCATTTATGTGATGTTTGTGGTAAGGAATAACCACCACACCGGCATGTGCGTGGTTGTAAGGGAGGTTTTAAGGAAATAACCACCACCCGGCATGGTGCGTGTGTGTATTGGAGAGGTACGGGAATAACCACCACACTGGCATTGTGAACGTGGTGTAAGGGTGAGAGGTTAGGGATTAAACCCACAACGGCGATGGCTGTTTGGGTGTAAGGAGAGATGGTAGGGAATAACCACCCACACGGCTATGTGGTGTGTAAGGGAGAGGTAAGGAATAACACCACACGGCATGTGCATGGTGTGTAAGGAAGAGTGTTAAAGAATAACCACCACACCGGGGCTGTGTGTGGTGTAAGGAGACGGTAGGGATAACCACCACACGGCATGTGCGAATGGTGTAAGGGAGACCAGAGGTAGGGAATAACCACCACACGGCATTGTGGTCGTTGGGCTGTTATAGGGAGAGGTAAGAATACACCACACACCGCGCTATGTGGCTGGTGTAAGGAGAGGTAGGGAATAACCACCACACCGGATCGTTGCGTGGTTGTTAAGGCAGAGGTAGGAATAACCACCACACTACCGGCAATGTGCATGAGTTGTAAGGGAGAGGTAAAGAAATAACCACCACAACCGCATTGCGTTGGTGTAGTGGGAAGAAGCTAAAGAATACACCACACCGGCATGTGCGTGGGTGTATGGATAACACCACCCGGCCATTATGCGTTGGTGTAAGGCATGAGGTAGGGAATAACCACCACACTGGCACTGTGAGAACGCGTGGTGTAGGGAGAGGTAGGGAATAAAACCACCACACTGGGATGTGCGTGGTTGTATGGGAGGGTGGGAATAACACCACACGGCATGTGCCGTGTTTGTTAAGGAGAGTAGGTACAGAATAACACCACCCGGCATGTGATGGTTGTAAGGGAGACAGCGGTAAAGAATAACCACCACACGGCATGTGCGTGGTGTTAGAAGGGAAGAGGTAGGGGAATAACCACCACACCGGCATGTGCGTGGTTGTATGGAGAGGTAGGGGAATTAACCCACCACACAGCCATTCGTGTGTGGTTAATCTGGGTTCTGATAAGGGAGAGGTAGGGATAACCCACCACCGGATGTGCATGGTGTAAGGGGGGAGGAGGGGTAGGGAATAACACACACCGGCATGTGCGTGGTTTGCTGTAAGGGAGAGTATGGGAATAACACACACCGGCATCGTGCCGTGGTGTAAGGATTAAACACACACCGGCTATGTGCGATGGTGTAAGGCGAGAGGTATTGGGATAAACCACCCACCGGATCGGCGTGGTGTAAGGGATGAGTAGGGAATACCCACCAACCCGGATGGTGCCGTGGTGTAAGGGGATGAGGTAGTGCAATACAACCAGACCGGCTATGTGGTGGTGTAGGGAGAGGGTTAGGGAAATAACACCACACCGGATGTGCGTATGGTGTATCGGGAGAGCGTATGGGAATAACAACACAACAACAGTCATGTGCGTGGTTGTAAGGGAGAGGTAGGGAATTAAACCACCACACCGGCATGTGATGGATGTAGAGTTAAGGAATAACGACCACACCAGCATGTGTACGTGGTGTTAAGGGAGAGGTAGGGAATAACCACCACACCGGCATGCTGCATGGTGTAAGGGAGCGAGGTAGGGAATAACCACCACCGGCAGTGTGCGTGTGTTAAGAATTAACACCACACCGCTGCCATCGTGCAATGGTGAAAGGGAGAGGTAGGGAATTAATCACACACCCGGCATTGTGCGTAGGTGTAAGGAATAACCACCACAGCCGGCATGTGGTGGTGTCATACGGGGAGAGGTAGGCGATCAACCTACCACAACGGCATTCGATGCGTTAGGTGTAGGGCAGAGGTATAGGGAATAAACCAACCACACCGGCATGTGCAGTGTGCTGTAAGGCAGAGGATAAGCGGAATAAACCACCACACCGGCATGCTGCATGGTGTAAAGGGAGACGGATCAGGGAATAACCACCACAACGGCATGTGCGTCGGTTGTAAGGCGATGAGGTATGGGATATAACCACCACCCGGGAATGTTGCTGTGGTGTAAGAGGGTACGGGAATAACCACCACACCGGGCTATGCTGCTGGTTGTTAAGGCGAGAGGTATGGGAATAACCACCACACCGGCATGTGCATTTGGTTGTAAGGGAGAGGTAGGGAATAAACCACCACACCGGCAAGTGCTTTGGTGTAGGGAGAGGTAGGGAATAACCACCACACCGGCCATGTGCGTTGTGGTTAAGGGAGAGGCTAGGGCAATAACACCACACCGTTGCATTGAGTGCCATGGTGGTAAGGCGAGACCCGGTAGGAATAACACCACACCGGGCATATTAGTGCGTGGTGTTAATGGGAGAGGTAAAGAATTACCCCCACAACCGGCATGTTGGTGGTGTGTAGATGGCGAGAGGGTAGGGAATCAACCACCCAGCACTGGCATGCTTGCACTCATTGGTTTGTTAAGGAGGAGGTAGGATAACACCCACTTGGGCATAGCTGCGTGCGTGTATGGAGAGGTTAAAGAATAACCACCACAACCGGCGATGTGCGTAGCTGTTAATGGGAGAGGTACGGGAATATAACACCACACCGGCACATCGCTGTGCGTTGGTGTCAAGGGAGAGGTAAAGGATAACCACCACACCCGGAAATTGTGCGTTGGTTGTTTATAGCGGAAGACGGTTAGGGAAATCACCACTCACACCCGGAATGTGCAGTTGGGCCTGTAAGGCAGAGGTAGGGAAATAACCACCACACCGGCAATTGTGCGTATGGGCTGTTGGGGCAGAGTAACTAAAGCAACTTACACCACCAGCGGCATGAGTGGGTGGCTGTATGGATAACCCACCATCACCGGCGATAATGCGCTGAGAGTGTAAGGTGAGAGCGGTGAAGGATAACCACCCACCATGGCATCGTGCGTGGTGTTATGGAATAAAACCACCAACCGGCATATGCGTGGTGTAAGGGATGAGGTAGGGACAATAACCACCACACTAGGGATGTTGCGTGGTGTAGGGAGAGGTAGGGACATAACCACCACACTGGCATGGTGCCCGTGTGTGTAATGAGCTGAGAGGTTATGGAATAAACCACCACACCGGCATGTGCAGTGGTTAGTAGGGAGGAGAGGTAAGGAATACATCCACCGAACACCGGCATGTGCATTAGTGTAGTTCAAGGGAGCACGGTTTCTACAAAGACATACACACCACCCACACCGGCATGTGTAGTGTGGACTGTAGCAGACTGGTAGGGAATAACCCACCACACCGGCAATGTGCAAGAGTGTATGGAGAGGTAGGGAATAACCACCACACCAGCATGTGCCCGCCACGCCATGGTATGTAACGGGAAGGGTATGGGAATAACCACCACACCGGCATGTGCATGGTGTAATGGATAGAGGTAGGGAATAACCACCACGACCGGCCATGTGCGTCGGTTGTAAGGGAATAACCACCAACCACCGGCTGTGGCGTGGGTAATGGGAGACCCGGTAGCCGGAATCACACCACACCCGGCATGTTGCGTGTGTCAAGCGGAGAGCGGTAGGGAATAACCACCACCACCCGGCCATGTGCGGTGTGTGTAAGGGAGACGGTTACGGAATAACCCAACACACCGGCATGATGCATGAGTGTATAGGGAGAGGTGGAATAACCACGCACACCGGGATCGTGCGTGGGTAAGGAGGGTAGGGAATAACCACCACACCGGCAATGTGGTTCGTGTGCTAAGAGGCAGAGTAGCGGATATAACCACCAGCACCGGCAGTGTGCCTGGTGTAAGGAGAGGTAAGGTGAATAACCACACCACACCGGAATGTGCATGGTGTAAGGGAGAGGTATGGGAATCAACCACCACACCGGCAGTGCCGTGGTGTAAAAGGGGAGAGTATGGGAATAACCACCACACCG